CGGTGAAGGAGCGGATGGGTAAGCTTGCGAAGCTTAATGTCACGAAGGGTTGCTCTCGACAGCAGGTGGGGAGGGCATGGAATAAGAAGAGTGTCAACGATTTCAATTGGGACTACTGATATGGCAATGCTGTGCAGTAATGTTGATGTTGAACGCTCCAAAAAGAGGTAGTCTGTGGCTCACATTAAGCTCTCGCCGTCGCGGGAGAGCGGGTCTGGGTGGACGGATGTCGTCGGGCGAGGGGTCTCGCACTTGACAGGACAGCAGCAGAGCGCCCCCCGGAAGGGGCGGATGTTGAAGAGCAAGGCGGCTCGCCCGCATCACCACGATTAGGCTCGGCATGCTCGGAGGACGACATAGTTGCGGGCTGCATGTCTGACAGCGCCCCCCTCCCCCAGGAAAGCTGGCTCGGTGCGTGGGATCAGCGTCCGGTATTTGATTTAAAGAAGCAAACACGCGACTCAGATGGGTGCATTCGCTGCGAGTTGATCTTCTCCTTCATTTCTTCTTTTCATTTCGGGCCCCCCCGGCCGTGCCTACCATGTACTACCTACGCATCTAGTCTGAGGGAGGGTACCGAGGAAACAAAAATCTAGTTCTGCTGAGGGGACGCACTCGAGATAGACAAAACACGCGCTGCTTTGTCGATCTTTTGAGGGTCCTGGCGCCTGCATCTCCTTACTCTGTGTCTTGAGTGAAGGTCTTGAGACGCTGCAGAGGCCCGTCTCCCCTCCGCCCTCGCCTCCTTCCGTCTCTCTCTCCCTCTCTCTGTTTTTCTCTCTCGAGGAAACGTCGACCTTGCTACGGAGCAGGTTGCAGGCACGGCCGAAGTGCCGCTTCCCGGCTGTGACGCCGGCCCCTGGTTACTGCCCTGGCTGCTGCCCAGGCTGGCCTGAATCGTGCGTGACAGGAACAATTTGGCACCACGTGCTCTGGATATTCCCTTGCCACAGCACAGACTGCTGTGGGCGGGGGGACCTCAGTGTGACCGGGAACCATGTCACCCGCTGTGGGCGGCAGCTGCAGCCCCGACCAGGCCACTACTAGGGTCAGAGCGTGGAGTTGGACCCGGGCTCTTCGAGCCAAGAGAAGCTTTGGGAACACCAGACTCGGAACCCGGCTTGACGACGCTGAACAACCGTCGACGGGGCGCTCTGCCTTTGACCGCGATAACGATGACAACGACGACGACTTTGCATTCTTCCCTTCAGAAACGCCAACAGAATATGGCACACACGGTCTGGGCCCAATTCACCTACACCTACCAACGCTCTCCTCTGCTCGACATCCTTCCACGACACTGCGATATCACGTATCACCACTTGCTCGTCGATTGGCACGCAACACAGCCTGCGTCGTAGGGCAAATTGCGAGGTTTCTCCGACGCAATATGTTTCTCGTGA